AGGGCTTCTCGGCTGCCTGCGTTGCCGTAAGCCCTGGGACAAGCCGAACCGGAACACCACAAATTCTGGTGTTTTCCGGAAGTAAACGCGCTCTGCTGCAAGCTAAAAATGCTGACTATGCACTAATTTTTACTGAGGAGTGGAGACGTGTTGGTGAGCAGAAAATATTGGATTTTTCTCTTGTTTCGATGTATTTTCCACCATCAAGGGAATATATACAGACCACCTAATGGAATTATACATATTGGGGGTTTATATTTCGTTATATCGTTAATATTCGTCAAAATACAATCATATTTCGGTCTCGTATTAATACATGTATCAATTTTCATGTATGATGTAAACATGATCGAGTCGAAATGTGCTCAAAGTGGCCGCTGTGATTCGAAACATCATGGGTTCTTGTACAGATGACCTGTTTCAACACGCGCTTGTAAAGTCACTTCAAAGACTGGACAAAGCCGGACTGGAAATTAAAGAGAAGTAATTCGAAGCTTTATCGTCTATCGTATGTATATAAAAGGAAGAAGAACGACATGTGACATGTCTAAACGGCGGTGTGTCTCTGTTTACTGGGTTACAACAACGGCAATAACAATGAATCATCTAACATTTCAAGAAAATATAAATTATAGATAGATGTCATGCATGACCCCATGAGTTTTGGATTTGAATTGCTAGATTTAAATCTATATTATGTATACAAAATCATGCGTGCGTAAATTTGAGCAAAAAAGCACAAGGTGTTTGTTTGGCCATATGCCCATCATGTAGTATGAATATTGAACACCGTTTATATAGCACGTTTAAAACGTTATTTCCATGCCGGATAATCCTGAATCCTTCACCGATTACATGCGTGGCAAATGACGAAAAATAATTATGTAAAATAATTAACCTAATATGTCTTTGGCCATGAATGCAACTCACTATGCTGCTTTATACATCTGACAGTCAAAACTATGTGCATGACTGTATGGCCCAATGTATGTTAATTGTTTCAGGGAAATGTGTTTTGCATTCCAATATATTTTCTACATGCAAGTGCACATTCTGTTTCAGATAGGGGCCAAATCATTTGAGGCCAAATGGGCCAGCCAATGATTGGAGGGTTAAGTGTTAGCAAATTTGACTCCCTTACATAATGTCAAGTTATCACTGGTCAATTTTTAAATTTCTTACAATTTCACATCAGGGAGTTCATTGCCCCCCCCCCCCAATTATCCAGAAGTGTGACTAAGCATTTTCTAGTATCTATCCAGGTGTCCAATCTAAATCTCCACCACAACAGGATGTATACCCGAGTGATGGTAAGGGAGGTGGGGGTTAAAATTCTGATTTATCAATATATTACTACACATTTCCACATTAAAAATATGAAAAGTTTTCCAGTTCAATATATCTATAGCAGGAGGCTTAAACCAGAATTTCAGAATACAAAGAAAATTTTATGTCATTTTTGTAATGGTTTGTTTAAAATCAATTTTTATACAGACATGGTAGGGTGTCTCCTGGCTAGAAGCCTGCATATACACATACAAATTTTCAGTTTTGTCGATAATAATAGTTTATTTTATAATTTCAGTTCTTACAAGATTTGCAATAAGTCAACAGAATAAGTATTCTATTCTTAACTGTTGACAGGAAACAGTGTAAATTCATGATGTCTTCCAATGACACAAGAATTCGAGACCCCCACCTTGGGCATACCAGGGGCATTCACTTAATTTGGTGTGTGAAATTCAGTGAAGTCCCCTGCAGCCAGGACAAAATGGCAAGGTAAATTTCTTCGGTCCTATCATCCCCAGGTATTCAATTGGAATTTTTACTTGAAATTTCCCAAACCATTCCTTTACTGTTCTGTAAAAGCCTTTCCTAGCCGACTGCTTTATTTCAGCATTTATATAAAAGACTAAACCTTTCCTAGCCCACTGCTTTATTTCAGCATTTATATAGCCGACTGCTTTATTTCAACATTTATATAAAAGACTAAGTGCCCCCCCCCCCGCCAATCATTCCTCGACTTGGACACTGAAAGTAAGTGTCTTCCCTGTTTGCCAAGAAATGATAAACCAGTGAAAAAGAGGCGATTGTCCTTGCATTCCCCTCTGGTATGCCAAAGGTGCAGGGATTCAAATGACTGGTGCAATTGAATATGCTTATAAGCTTATTCACTGTATTTAATTAAAAGCTATTAAAATTACTCACTAATAATACAACTGAGAAAATTCAGAAATAGTGAAATACACCTATAATATTCTATATGCTATATTTAAAAATTGCAATGGGCTATTTTAATATAGGGCCATTTTAATATAGGCGTGTAATAGGCCAAGTGACCAATACCAAAAGCATAATAATTAATAAAACACAATATATTACACCATTAAAACTTTACTATTGGAAATATATATTATTAAACATTTTATATTTACAGTGTGCTTAAAATTTTACAATTATACTTGAGCACAATGTTTTAATAATAGACAACTTTATAACAAGAATTAAATGTTAAAATGAAGAAACTTTTTAATGGCTTCATAATTGATGTTTCTTCGATATTGTTGCTTACTTCTACTTTATAATTGTCCATTTTGTTATTTTCTTTCTTTCTGTTTGCAAATTATCTCCATTAATCCATAGAAAACAAGCATTATACGTTTGTATTTCTTCGTATTTCGAACGCGCACTCCTTGAAGGCAGCCATATTGCCGAATATAAACATCCACTTGATGAATGAACTTTTCATATTTCACTCTATTTCCAACGACCAATCAAATCACTTCTGCTTCGGCTTGTCCCAGGGCTTACGGCAACGCAGGCAGCCGAGAAGCCCTGGGAACGAGGATGGGGCCGGCAGTGCATCACTCATCCTCGTCCCCAGGCCCAAGCTCGGGCGGCCCTCACAGTGGCCCTGGGTCAGGCTGTTGATCTGCCTCGGAATTCCGACGCAGAGGCTTGGTCGCACAGGATATGCCTTTCTCCCTAAAAACATGGCGACCGCAATGTATGCAAGGAAGGCTTACTACAAGAAGCAATATATTTTGCACTTGTAAAAACAAATAATACTCAAATTAAGTTAAAGGAAGAGCAGAAAGAAGCTGTTCGTCAAATAGTAAATGGAAGGGATGTTAAATCGTTGATATACCAACTTTTACCTTCCATGTTCAACTACATTAATTCGAGAAAAAGAAATATTTCTGCCGTGTGAACAGAAACAATTGTAATCGTGATTTCTCCGTTAAATGCACTGATGGACGACCAAATAGACAAGCTAAAAACTAACATGGGTGTTAAGGCAGTTGTTTTACGCCATGATGATCATGATCAAGAAATGAAAGGTGTGTACAAAATACTTCATTTTGTTATTTTTGTATATAATAGACAGATTTAGATCGAGGACGTGGACGTCAAAGACGACGTGAAAATGACGTGTTGTGCCCATGTATGGATATGCCACGCCATATTGACGCCATTTTCACGTCGTCTTTGACGTTCGCGTCCTCGATCTAAATCTGTCTAATACATATGTATAGACCCCTTGCCTTTTCTGGCAGGAAAATCTTTATGAAGCTTCCAATAGAGCTTATGGTGACATGTATTGAATATGCATCACAATATTATGGAGATCAATAAAGAACATTACATGACCTGTCTAGGAGATTTATCCATGCATGACAAGTGAAGTTCCATTTGACTAATCAGACATAGAACAGAGTGGCATTTATAGAAGTGACATTAATATTTAAGAGTATCATTAAGTTTCATCTATTCTGGATCACCATTCTAAATAAAAACCAACTGGTTGGAAAGTTTATTGAAAATATAATTAACATTAAGCAATCACTATGATTGTTCTTGCCATGTTGGGGAAATGTTTCCCTTATTTTTCTGGTCAGCAG